TGATTCATACATGAAAGTTATTCTTACATCTACATTTTCTTATTTACATGATGATCTTAGACTCCTACAAAATCCAAATCAAAAGATGATAGAATTATTGTACGGGATACCGATTCAGCTGCATCAAAGAAACAGGTACTACTACAGTTACATGACTATCTTGTTATACAATATTAATTACTGAACTTATATATGACTTTTAGGTTCATGATCAGCAGTCGCAACAAGTCAGCAAGGGTAAGATGCCTGAAACTTCCAAGGTTCCCAGAAAAGCAATTGTTCCTCGATTTAGGATGTGCCTTGAAACATATGTCGGAACATCAGATGTGCCTGAGGGTGGCGTCCGTCAAATACATATGGAGGCAGGTATTTTCGGTTTTGAATATCCCGAAACAATTGCTAAGGAGGATTTTGATCAGGTTTTCAACCATTCTGAACTGGGCGTCGGTGTTATGCATTCATACATCAGGTACTTTGATCCATTTTAATTAAATAATTGAACATTTTAAAATTTGCTCGTTTAACTTAATATTCTAATGTTGATTATGTTTTTTTAGGTTCTTGTATGACAAGTTATTGGTCCCGAATGAATTGACTTCAGTATTCGCATTCTTATCTGCTAGCTGTGTCAACTCACGTATAATAGACCAGTCACCAGATACAGTCAAAGAGTACACAGTGCAGAGATTTATGCGCGCGACTACAGAGAAGTTGTTCTTGTTGCCATATAACACTGGTCATGGGTTAGATTTTATTCTAAATTCATTTATTATAATTGTTCGATTTTTCCCTTTCTATATATATAACATTTCCGTCTAAACTGTTGTCTTATTTTATAGTGGACATTGGTTGTTGATTGCAATTAATCTGACGAAAGAAATAGTGTATTATATAGATTCATTGGATGGCGATACAACAAAATATGAAAATCTGAGGAACTTTGTTGATACGTAAGTGATGACATATACTGTTGTCTTTAATTATATATCTTTATTTATTATGTGACATTGTTCTAAATATGCGTTTATATTATGTTAGAATTATACAAATATTCAGAGCACAAAGAGATGCAACGGTGCCAAAAAGTAAGGCTAACAACATCAACTGGATCAGACTGGAGGTATATTCTCGCATGTTTCTACTTGATAAAACTATTAAAACTATATATCCGGATAAATGTTCGTTTGTTTTTTCCATTTACAGTGTCCTCGGCAGCGCAATGGTATTGACTGTGGATATTTTGTATTGCGCTTTATGAGGGAAATTATTCTTTCTAGTCAACTTGAGATTCCAGTCCTGGTATGGATCAATTCATTATATAAGTTATATGATTCATTTTGATAATTATCCGATACTTCATCTGAGTAATTAGTTTTAAACTTAAATCTTATTCGATCTGTTATATTATGTAGTATTATGATGAACTCAAGTGCGCTACTTACACGAAAGCAAAATTGGAAGAAATTAAAGAGGAATGGTGTCAATTTATTCTTGGGTTGAGAATTGTATAGAGTTATCGGATTGGAAGACTTGTAATTATATGTGAATTGAATGTATTTGTGTTGTTGTAATTCTGAGGATCGAATTTTGTTGTAACATATTTAAACAGGTTTATGTGTATATTAAAATGTTTATGAACAAAGTCATGAGTTACAATGTATCCAAAGTTTTGAATTGTACATATAAGGCCAAAGTTTGAATTGTATATTTAAGGCCAAAGTTTGAATTTTATTTATAAGGCCAAAGTGCTGAAATAAAGGCCTGAATTATAAGCAGGTTTGTGTAATATAAGCAGGTTGTTGGTAAAATATACAAAACAGGGTGAATATTTTATAAAAAAAAAATTTAAAATCTGGGACATTAGACAGCGCTTTTACATAAAAGCGCTGCTAAAGGTCACAAATATTACGCTACAAAAGCGCTGCTATTGGTTTGGAAGGGGGGGGGGGGTCTAAGGCAGCGCTTGTAAAAAGCGCTGCTAAAGGGTGGGCTATGGCAGCGCTTTTGCAAAAGCGCTGCTAAAGGGGGGGGGGGGGGGGGGTCTAAGACAGCGCTTTTTGAAAGCGCTGCTAAAGGGGGGGATGGTTGGGGGAATTATGCAGCGCTTACAAAAGCGCTGCTAAAGGGATAAAAAAGCGCTGCTAAAGGTGTTGCTGAAGGGAGCTTTTAGCAGCGCTTTTTCATTGAAAAAAAGCGTTGCCTTTACCTTTAGCAGCGCCACTTTTGGCAGCGCTTTAAAGCGCTGCTAAAGGCCAAAAAAAGCGCTGCTAAAAGTCTTTTTTGGCATAGTGATTGTCTTAACTGATGATAGCACCGAGTATGAGAAAATACTCAAAACTCGGTGCTATATTATGATTTTATTCGGACACTTTTTATTTCCAGATGGCACTGGAAATACCATCCATACTATGTATTTACCATTATTGCGGAATATTAACAAAGTGTGCGAATATAGCTGGGGATCAGCTGTCCTCGCCCATCTATATAGCGCACTTTGTAAAATTTCAAAAAAAAATTCCTGTACTTTTTATGGTTGTGCTTATCTTCTGCAAGCGCGGGGTTGGTTTAGGATGCCAATGCTTGCTCCAATAAATAGGAATTCTTTTACGTTCCCGTACGCCAACAAGTAAGTATCTTTTCAAGATTATTTAGCAACTACATATTCTTTTTCAGTTAATAATTTCTGAGATGTGTTTATTTTTTTAGGTGGTCTTTTCCAGGGATGAATTATCAGAGATATCCAAGGCACTCTATAATTCAATACCACAACCTAATCGACCACCTTGGGCCAGATGATGTAAGTTATTTACCATTAATTTTTTTAATGTATATGCATAAACTCTCAAACTCTGTCTAACTTAATTGTCCAATTTTATTGTAGTTTGTCTGGATGCCGTACGAGGGTCTCGACTACGAGCCCAACCCCGACGATGTCGTTGTGTGGACATCAAAGACACCCATAATTAGGTTCACTACAGTGGAGATGCACCAAAGTGACCGGGTGAAACTACAATTTGGGATGCATCAGGATATTCCAGATGCTCCAGTAGACTTGGGGCAGTGGCATCAAAAGCGGGTAGACGCACAGTGGAGTGTCAGTGATTGAAAGGAGTTTGCGAAGAAGTTGCGTATACACTGGAAAAGAAGAAGGCAATACGTCTTAACCGACCGTATTGTGCACGGGGCTAGGCCAAGTCTTCAATATATGACTTGGTTTAGGTCTGTCACGAGATCTCAGCCTTTCCTGTCCCAACCAACCTATTTGGCCGACCCAAGGGAACGCGATTCTTCGTCAAACCCACAACAACAGTTCAGTGCCCAAAACCAGCCTTACGAAAACCCATACATGCCAACAAATACCCCCTATCAACAACGACAACCTTACATGCCACCCACTCAATCCCAGCCTCAACCACCTTACCATTACAACCCTGATACCTCTTTTGAGCCTACCCCTTCCACCTATAGCCCAGACAACTCATTTGACCCTACCCCCTCCAAATACACCTCCAACTACCCCTCCAATTACCCCTCCAACGACCCCCTAAATTATCCATTATTCGACTACCACACCCCGCAACAACCAACACACTTAGACCAACCCAACTCCATGTACACATTCGGACAACCATACCGTCCATACTCCACCCAACCTCCCTGACAATCCTTTGAAAACATGGGCATCGGGCTTGACTATGGAAGCGCCGTTGACAGTGGACCTCCCGGCTATTGGGGTCAAATGATGCAAACTCTATCTGATACGCCGGGGCCGTCCCAACCATACCCTCCTCCACAACTTAACACACAGAGACCGGACACACCACAACAACCTCGTCGTAGACATCGTCGCAACGCGCGTCCCCCACAACGTGGCACCGGTGGTCACTTGGATAGAGCTGATCATTAGTTTTTTTCTTTTGTTCAATTGTAATTGTATTTTTCATTAGATTCTAAATTAATATAATTTATTATTTCTATATTTTATTTTAACATTTCTATATTTAATTTTTTCCCAATCTTATTTAAATTTCAATTAATTATGAAAAACAAACAACGTAGTTTAATAACATATATTTCTTAAGAATTCATTTTACATTAATAATTAAAAATAAAGTATTTATTAATTAAAATTAATTAAAAATATAGTATTTAAAAAATAGAATAAAACATTAATAATCAATTATTTAAATTTATTAAAAACTGATAATAATATAAATGAAACAAAAAATAAAAACGAAACCCTAGAATGCCCTCATTCGCCAATCAGGATGACGAAGGCATTAAGAATTGGCCTCATTCGCCAATCAACATGGCAAATTGGTTTTTTCATTTTTAGTTTTGATCTCATTTGTCAATTGACTACTTTAAATAATTTTTTAAAATATTGATTATAATGGTAAATAATATTTAATATATAGTTATTATAAAAAAAAATTCTCGTATTTAAGAATTTTCTCTCAATAAAAATGTATGTTAATTTCTATGAGATAATGATACATTTATTTGATTTTAAAAAATAAAAATCGTACGAATTGAGGCGTACCCAAACCATATAGTTAAAGTAAAGAACATATCATTATGACTAATTTACAAAATAATGAATGCACAGTTTCTTCTTATGCAACTGTCTTCTTCTATTTCTTTTGAAACATTGAATTTAACAATTTTATGGTTTTAGAATCACTTTTATCTTCCAAGTGAAATCAAACAAACACTTAATTAACTTAGCGCACTTTGTAAAAAACTTATAATTGGCTCTTTAAATTACGATTTGTGAACGGTGTATATAGAGACAACATAAGAACTTTCAATTTGTGAACAGTGTATATAGAGACAACATAAGAACTTCTAGAAAAAGTGATTATCATCCAACTCCATGCATATAAATTACCATAGTTCAAGGGAGCTTAGTGAGCTAGAAGTACAAAGTAACATGTACAGAATATTTCCATAAAAATGTTTCTTTTTAAATGAAAACACCAACACAAACGATGTCAACTTCAGCCTGTTAAGAATCCATCAACCTTAATATTGTCTCCTCTAGACAAGAATTTCATACAAATAGGTGGCTGTACTCCAGCAAGAGCAAGAAAAGAACTGGGAAGTGCCCAAATTCCATCTCCACAAATCAACCCTGAAGCAACAGCTGATCCAAATGCATCAGCTTTAGCTCTATCAAGTTTCTGCCAAATGTACAATATCAAGCTTCCAACACACATATCAATAGCAAAATAGCTTCCAATGTAAAATGGTATAGCCATAGCCATAGGAACGGGAATAAACTTGGCGTATTTCTTTCCAAGTAGGTCGCGAACAAGATTGATCACTATGGCTGCAGCGAAAAACACATAGCAAAGTGTGAGGCAATTTTTGGGTAATGCTGAGAATCCGTCAACACCTAATATTGCCATGTTTCGATAAACTTGGGCGTAAGGTGCCGGATATGCTGAACCAGGTTCACCTAGAGAAGGAAAAGCGTTGTAGAAAAGCCAGAAAACACATGGTGATATAACACATCCCATGGTCGTTCCAATAACTTGGCTCACAAACATAGATTTTGGGGAAGCCAGTGTCATGTAACCTGTTTTGAAGTCTTGCATAAGATCAGAAGCGGTAGAAACAATGTTCATCATTACACCACATGCTGCTAAACCTGCTATGACGCCGCCGTTAGAAGATCCTGCCCAAGCACCTATAGTGAAGATGGCCAATTTTCCGTAGGTCGATGCAAGGGACCAATCTGTTAGTCCACAACCATAGGCATTGCAAAAGGCCAGTGCTGGTGCAATGATGTAAATGCAGACTATGTAATACCACTTAAGTTGATGGAAAATGTAAGGGATAGTGACGATTGAGATGATTGCAATTATGACATAGCCTGTGACTGCGAACCATGATGGAATTTGATCTTTGAGAAACATCTCGGTTCTTCGCCTGTCATCGAACGAAACTATTTGAGAGAGATGATCATTTGAATCATTGGATTGTACTCCTTTTTCTTTAGTCCATTGATTATACAAACCGAAAAGAGTGCGGCCTAGAACTTTCACAAAGTTGTATAAACCATCACCAAGAATCATTGCTATGGCTATGAAAACCTGTCGTTCAAAGGATATTCAATTAGAAAACCAAAGGAATATATCAATAAAGGTCTATTACATCATAATATCTCTATATAGCTATTGTTCCAATCTAGCTAACTGTGTTTTAGTTGTTAGATTATATATAATATACAAGAGTTGAATGGATATAAATTGTTAATGTAAATCAATTTTTAGATGACATCCAATGAGAAATCATCATTTTTCCATATCATACAATCAGCTTCAAAATGCACTTACAAACATAGATGATATTGCAAAATAGTAGAAAGTGAACTTACTTTGTAGCCTTGAAGACCATGTAAGCTGGTTTGTTTGAGATCGGCAGGGTACCAGTCTCCTTTTTTCCCATCAATGAGAGGCCACATGATAGCCCATGAAAGAATTCCACCAACCAGAAGGGATATATTGATTATATATGGACATATCATCCCAACCCCCACATAGGTTGCAGAAAAATCAAAATAGAACCTATAATATGTACATACATACATAAATAAAAGAATGAATTAAAAAGTTGCCAACACATCATGCTAACACCATAAGTTAAGAAGCTAAAAGTTTCAGTTAAGCCCTTAATGTTAAATAAAAGAGAGTGACATACTTTTCTTGATAGGCTTCTAAACCAAATGTTGGGAAGTTTACAAATCCACAAGCATCACCAGCAGTGAAGAACCATTGGAAGAAACCCCACGCAAAGCTAAATGAGAAGAATTTTCCAAGTGCTTGTACTTGTTTCTTTGCTAGTTTGGCACCTTCTGTTGTATGGAAACTATTGATAAGATGAGCCGTTGCAGTACCACTTGGATATGTCAATCTAAAATCAACAATCATAATCTACAACAACCAACATTAAAAAAAAACGTCAATTCAACCTACAATAACCAAATAGCTTAATTTAGGCATCACTGATGGTCCATGGTTCAACCAGCTGTAAAAGAGTTGGTTACATTCCATTTAGGCATCACAAAGTCATGTACAATAATTGTTCTTTACGTTATATACTTATTTGATGCAAATAGTTAGTGTACCTTTCGGAGTGGAACCACCGAAAAGAGGCCAAGAAAGCTAACAACAAACAGAAATGCAATCATCCATCCTAAACCAGGAACTTTAGTATCAATGGGACTTCCCGATTCTGGAATTTGTTTTGCAATAGTTGGACTCATTCCAAACAAGTAGCTACCAAACCCACCTACACAAGCAAACCAAATAACACCCTTTTCAACAAAGGCAAAACAGTAAATTAACATATATTATACACTTTTCAACAAGCAGCAGAAGAGTAAAGGGGACCACCAAGCACAAACACACGATTCCTCAGAGTGGGACCCACCCGTGATACACTCAACAAGTAATCAAACACATGCAAAACCCAAAAAAAAAACACATGCAAATCCCAAAAGCCAGAAACCAGTAACCCCAATTGTATCGAATTCAAAGATGATGAACAAAAATGAAAACCTTAGATAAAGTTATTACCACTGAAAGCAATGCCACTTGAAGCAACAACACAAGTCTGAATAACAGTATTCTCCTGTCTGGTAAACGGCTGATTAAGCATACCAGCTTTCCCAAGCAACTTCGTCCAAGTTTTCACAAAGAAGAACCCTAGCAACCCAGCCGAAACATTGAGAGAAGGAATAATACCAGTGGTAAGATTAAGCTTCATCACAATGAACGTAAACAACACCGACAAAAGCAAACTCACGAACACAGCCCTAACCGTAACCTGTTTCTGCCATGTCGGCACTGATTTTCCCTCAAACCCTTTCTCAACTGAAACCTCCTCATGCTCACCGTTAGAATCTCCTGACGCATCCACTATGTCGTCGCGGCTTTCAACGTCACCGGAGACAGCGCGTCGGTGGGGTTGGGTGGTCATTTATTGATGAGAGAATAATAACGTTGGAAGATAACTGAAAATTACAATGTGGGTACGTGATCTCTAGAATGGTTTGGTTTTTATATTGAAATTGTTATTGTTGAGTTGTTGTGGCTCTAACTGGCTATAGCTGTCATTTTCCAGTTGTTTGTTTTTTCGTAGATTGACCAGTTCTTTATTCGTATAGTAATTAATGCTATTTTTTTTGGTTAATTAATGAATTTGGACAGTGTTATGAATATTGTATTAATGTATTACTAATTTGCCTTTACTATCTTTTACTGTTCTACAACAAGTAACATATATTTTTTTTAAATCAGAATGAATCTTTTAATTTTTACTATATTAATTTTTGAGATTTTATCATGATTTGTATTATTTTAATTAATACTTTTTATTTTATATTTATGGTAGTGGGGATATATAGGTTAATTTAATAACAATTACTTTATATTTTTTTATTTATATAATTTTTAATTTATATAAAGTATTCAAATAAATAATTTTTTCAAAATATACTATTTTAAGTCAAAATTTAAAATTTTTGAATTCATTGAATTACGTATGCATATTATCTATATATAGACAAATAAATTAATATTAACTAAAAACAAAAAAGAAAAAAAAAGTTGAAATGTCCTTTAATGTATTTATTTCATTTTGTATTGAAAATTGCTTTATATGTGTGTTTATTTCTCTTTTTATATTCTAGTAATATTTTTTTATATAATAAGAATAATTTGAAAAAGTAATTAAAAGAACATTTCTGTAACACAAATCTAAAAATTGTGCCGTTTAGCATTTATAATATTTTATTAATTAAAAATATATATGTTACTTTTTTTATAATCAAGGTAAATGAGATTGAAATAGCTTAAAAGGGTACTCAACCCTTGCAAAGAAAAGAAGACAAACAATTAAGAGATTGAAAAACAAGGATTCAAATTGGATTACCAAGCTTTCCAATTTGAGTACGTCACGTATTTTAAATATATGTTTCATTAACCATTACTTAATTTTTGTCATAAACTTATTTTTAGATTTGAGTATAGTTTTTTTAAAAGTTTAAAATAACTTAAAAATGACAAATAATTTGTAGTTGTAGATAGTTACATAAACAATCTTGCACGGGCACGAAACAAATAACTTAAAGAATACTAAAACCCTCTAAGGTAAGTTTGAAAATGGAGAATAACTTAATGAATACTAAAAATATAAATCTTTAAAGAATCATACCCTCATATTTGAATCATGTTAACAATTATTATGTTGAATTAGTATATTCAGAATTTTATTTTGACTTTAAAAGAAATATTTGTTAATAGACAATGAAATTGGTTCTTTTATATTAGTCGATCACAAGACCAACTATCAAAATTCAAAAAAAATAAATAAATATAAATATTTTATCTACTTATTAATTAACGGATACACAGAAAAATATATAATAGTAGTCTTACCCGTAGATATTCATACAGGTTAGGAAATGAGTAAAACTATAAAATATTATTGCATTTAAAAAAATATTGCATAAATAAAAGAAAGAAAAATACAACGGACAAGATGACCGGCAACAACCTAATCCATCAACATAAAAATTAACAAAACAAAAATGAGTTAAACTAAGACCATCTCCAACGGTGGTTCTTCAAATTGGTTTGCCAACTTGGCATTGAAATTGTCAACAAAAAGTTGTTCCAGCTGGTGAACGTTCCTTGTATAAGCAATGGTTCTTCATTTTTTTATTATTAAAATAATTATTTAACTTGTTGGTTTTATTTTTTATTTTTTTTAATTTTTTTTATTTATTATAAATATAAGTTTGTTGCAAAAATTTATAACAATCCTATTTTCTCTCACTTTTATTTACTATTTAATTTTAAATTTCTCTCTCACAATTTCATCATTTTATTCATAAATTATTATTTTCAATTTTATGTTTAATTTTAATTTTATGTTTAGTTTATATTTATAGTAATTAAAATTTAAATATTTAAATTATAATTTTAAATAAAATAAATTTAATATAAATAATATATTTAAGTAAAGTAGTGGGACTCAATATGGGTTCTTTGAAGTTGCACCATTGGAGTGAAAATTGAATAAGTTGTTTTAGAAGAGTGGGTCCCACAAAGAACCTAAAAATGGGTTGCACCATTGGAGGTGCTCTAAGTCATCTCTTTATCAATTCATCATTTACACAAATTGAGATGGAGTTCCGCAAAATCTCGTATTTAATATAAAAATATTCATTTGTTATACAATCATCACAATTACAATTATTGCATGTGAGATGTCTTAAAGTGAAAGAATCTAATGATATGAATACCCTTTTTCATTTCAATAGAAGTCTCAGAGGGACAATGGTAGAATTAGTGAATACTTTTATGCATTATTATAAAATATATATTTTGTAACATCTTTTTATTTCGGTCATTTAATCCACCACGGTAATAACTAATTATTAGGCGTCGAAAATACTTATCACCACGGTCAATACTAACAATCGTAATGACATAGGTTATAGAGGGATACACTTTTACAATTAAAATATTTTTCATCACTGTCATATTTTCCAACCATGGTGAAATACGACGTTTATTTTTGCAATGTGTTGGTTGCTTTTGTGTGTAATATCTCAGGGACAATTTAGTTTTCACAATCCTATAAAGAGTTTAGTCTTTACAATCTCAGGGATGCTTTTGTGCAATATTTTTATTCATTTTTACTATTTTGAAATTTTTGGCCTTAAAAACTAATGTTAAGATTCAAGCATATTGTTTACTTAATAAACTGAAACTTCTTTAAACCAAGTTTTTAATATACTTTTGAAGAATGAAATATGAAGTTTTAAGGTGGAATGATTTAGGTTTAGTAAAAAAGTGAATGATGCGTTTGCTGAGCTTTTATAGACAAATTTCTATATCATTTCATCACGGTTGGGAAGTGAAATCATGGTAACATCTTTATGAAAGCACTGCAATTATTATTCTCAACTGTGGTGAAAAGTGTTTCTCTTAAACTAAAACGTAACAAGTTTTAGTTTACTTCCTTCATAGCACAACAGTGCCTTAGTGAAATCCCTTTATATCAGAAGAATGTGATAGCAGAGACTAATCTCCATAAACAAATAAAAAATACTCCATCATTTCATGTTTGAATCAAGGAGGGGAAGATGAAACTTGCAAGAAGGGTACAGGAAAATCATTTCTTTGCCTCTTCTTCTTTTTCCCAGTTACAGTACGTTAAATATTTCATCATTATTCACTATGCCAAAAAAGACCTTTAGCAGCGCTGCCTAAAGTGGCGCTGCTAAAGGTAAAGGCAACACTTTTTATGGAAAAACTGCTGCTATAGGCCTACTTTTAGCAGCGCTTTTCCATAAAAGCGTTCTCTATTCCCCCCTTTTAGCAGCGCTTTTCAAAAGCGCTGTCTATTCCCCCTTCTCCCCCTTTAGCAGCGCTTTTCAAAAGAAAAGCGTTGTCTATTCCCCCCCTTTAGCAGCGCTTTTTAAAGCGCTGTCTTTCCCCTCCCTTTCCCCCTATAGCAGCGCTTTCTTGAGCGCTCTCTATGCCCCCCCCCCCTTTAGCAGCGCTTTCTCAATTAAAGCGCTGTCTATTCTTCACGTCTTTAAAAAATTTTTTTAAAAAAAATCACTTTTTATATTTTTTTCGATAAATCTGCTTATAATTCAGACCTTTAATTCAATACTTTGGCTTTATATATATATATATATATATATATATATATATATATATATATATATATATATATATATATATATATATATATATATATATATATATATATATATATATATATATATATATATATATATATATATATATATATATATATATATATATATATATATATATATATATATATATATATATATATATATATATATATATATATATATATATATATATATATATATATATATATATATATATACCATAATCATTATAATTCACATAAATCGGCTTATAATTCAACACATGTCGATTCTCAAAACAACTTCACAAATACAGTCATTATACATATAATTACAAAACTGATAACTTTACAAATACATTCACTACACATATAGCGCCAAAACTACATACGACTTCCAGAAATATAATTATCCCGCATCAATATTTGACGATACATATACCTTATACAATTCTCAACTCAAGAATGTATTGACACCATTCCTCCTTAATTTCTTCCAATCTGTCTTTCGAGTAAGTACCATACTTGAATTCATCAAAGTACTACATAATATAACATAACATGCACGATTTAATTTTAAAACTAATTACTCAGATGAAATATCGGTTAATTATTAAAATAAATCATATAACTTATAAATTGATCCATACCATGATTGGAATCTCTATTTGACCCGAATGAATAATTTCATTCATAAAGCACAATACAAAATATCCGCAATCAATCCCATTGCGCTGACGAGGACACTGTAAATGGAAAAAATAAACGAATATTTATCAGGATATATAGTTTAATTAGTTTTATCAAGTAGAATCACTATAACAGTCAAAATTGTGAAAATATACCTGCACTCTGATCCAGCTAATGTTGTTAGCCTTCCTTTTTGGCATTGTTGCTTCTCTTTGTGATCGAAATATTTGTATAGCTCTAACATAATATAAATGAATATTTAGAACAATCTCACATAATAAATAAAGATAATTATTCAGAACAGTATATCTCATCACTTACGTATCAACCATATTCTTCATATCAGGATATTTTATTTGACCACCATCCAATGAATCCAGATAATACACTATTTCTTTCATCAGATTAATCGCAACCAACAACCAGTGTCCACTATAAAATAAGGCAAAAGTTTAGACGAAAATGTTATATAGAATGGCAAAAGACGAATAATTATAATAAATGAATTTAGAATGAAATGTAACTCATGGTCAGTATTATATGGCAAAAAGTACAACTTCTCTGTATCTGTGGCCATAAATGCTTAAACTATG